CTTTAGTTGACTTGTTATGAGGAAAAGCTGTGGAACTAATTCTAAGTTGTTGTGTGTAAATGAACTTTGATGTGGCTATATTTACAATTGGCCAGTTACTTTTTCTGTCTTTCTTTGCTGAAAACTAAATTTTTTTTAAAAATTGTTTTTTACTTGCTTAAATAGAAATGAGCATTTAAAAAAAAGAAAAAACTCATTTAATTAATTCTTAAACTGGAACATGATGAGAGTCTTGTGCAATGTTTTGTTTCATGTCAACAGTTTGCTTTGTATGAAATTATATACATTTATAGTTTTTATATTAAAATATTTTGCATTTTTGTATAATTTGTTTTATTAATATAAATAGAAAACAACTTAATTTGGCAAGCATTTAATTAATGTTAAAAATATTTTTGCAAAGCAGTTGTATTTAATTGAACCTAGAGGTCAGATAGTGGTACCAATCTTCTAGTGGTGCCAATTTGGTAGTAGCATGAATCTGCAAAAAGTACCAATCTGCTAATGTTACAAAACCCTCTAGAAGTAACATTGGTTTTTCTTTTTTCATTTTTCTTCAAAATCCTGCAAAATAATAAAATACTTTCTTTAGCAGCTTTCCAATCTATAACTTTCAGTTTTCGAACCTGCACTTTTTCAATGCTATTGAATATCCATCAAATCGGCGACACTTATGCTGCATGTGTTGCTGATATGATTATTATGATGGATCGCCTCACAAATTGGGTCCAAATAATTAACATTTTCTTCTTTTTTTTTTGCTTGTATCATTTCTAATTTTACTGGTAGTCACAGGAATGAGAACGTGGAGGTGTGCCTCGTGTCGTGCACTCTTGCAATGAGATGAAATTCTTGTATCAACTTAAACAGCACATTTTTTTCCTGTTGATGTAGATTTATTTGCAACACTGTTTCTCAGAATTTTTCACCTTGCTGCTGACTGATAAAACTTAATAAAAATGTAAAATGTTTGAAAGAGCAAAAAAATATTTCTGGCTCTGTCTACCTTGCATTAGAATGACTAGCTTAGCTCATCCTAGATGGGGAACTTTCAAGATAAACCTATAGTTTCTCTTGTTTTTTTTTTATCAGTTATATTGTCACAAAATTTTTTTTTTAAAATAGACTCAGTTGGTTCAACTTTTTCACAGACTGCTTGAGAAATATTGATTTAGTTACGAGATATAAGTGGGGGGCCTCCTATATTGATAATTCTGACTTTTAAAAATAAAATTAATATTGTTTTTGTGAATGTCTTAATTATATTATATTCATGTACATAAATTAAACTGTTATCTTGCTAATATAAATACAACACTATATTAAGAAACTGTCTCATTGATAACAAGTTTAAATTTTGTTGAAAAATTCAAATTTGCTTAAATTTTAGATATTCCTACTTTCCAAATCAATTTAGAAGAAAAATATGCTCTTGGAGGAAAAAGTAACATTGCTGAGAACCAAATATTTAATATTAACAAGCTTTTGTTGTTTATTGGTGAAGTTAAGTTTTGTAATTATCATTTACCATTTCTTTATGTATAACATTATATAGACGGTTTAATTGAAACTACTTTTAATCATGGCTTTCTGTGACTTTTTCTGATCCTTAAGTGGGAATGAGTTAGCGAATATGATTTTTATTAAGTTACAGAACCTCTAGGGGAGTTGAGGACAATTTAATTTGTGCACATTACAAAATGACACATTTACTGAACCCACCCTAACAAGGCCTCATACATTGACAAGGAAATCAAATGCTGGTCTTTTTATTTTCAGTACTTAAAAACTAAATGTGGGTTTATAATTTAAGCAGACTGAAAAGACCATACATGTCATGTATTGTTATGTTCAATCCTGCCAAAGCATCAGTCAAAGTCATAGACAGCCAAGCCCTAATAAGTCATTAGCTACCAGTTTTTGTAATGCCTTATTTTATTGTGTATAAATTATAAAGAAATAAGTGAATCAGATGGTGATTCCAGTGAATAAATGTCTGAAGATCACGTAAGTCTTGTTTCTATAAATTAGACAGTTGTGTTTTTTTAATTGTCTAACGTCAACTGCTGTTTGATGGCTCTCAACTATGCTAAATATTATTACAATTTAAAATTGTTTATAGTCACAGTGTACTAGCCAGCTGAGGACAGTGTCCCAAACAGATCTACTAGCCAGCTGAGGACAGTGTCCCAAACAGATCCCTTTCCTTTGGCCCTTATCTACACACTCAGAATCCCCAGCAAATTTTAGACAAAATTACATATTAATTACAGTGTTAAAATATTCCATTAACAAATAAAAAATGTTAAGTGTTTCCGCATTTTGTTCAGACGCTTTGTTCACTGTGTATCCTGGGGATCACTCCTTTTAACTTCAAAGGAAAGGGCTCTACGTGGTGGCCACCAGTCTCAAGATATAACAGGCCACCAGTCTCAAGATATAACAGGCCACCAGTCTCAAGATATAACAGGCCACCAGTGTCGTGATACAACATGGTTAAATCTTTTGAAAGGTTCAAATTTTAAAAAACACGTAAAACTGTTAAACTCGGCCAGCCATAAATTAACAAGAAACCTTTTGAAAATTGTTAAACTGTTTATAAGCATTTGGTCAGCCTCAATGTCAAACAGTGAATTCAAAAGGATGGCAATAAACTAACTTCTAATTTACTGTTAAAATATAAAAACTTTTCAATAATAAAAACTATAACCTTATAAATCTTGATAGCTTGCAACATATGGCCCAAATTAGGCTCAACTTGGTCTTCAGTGTTTAAATGATCTGATATATAAAATGATAACATGATGGGGTGAGATGACAAAAAAAAGTCTTAGAAATACAGATAAAAATTTCCGGGTGACATAAATAAATCATAAGATTATGTGAATGAGGACTTTAAAAAACTTTTTACATCTTAAAAATACAACGGAAAATAGCTTATTTGTGCAACTTAGAAAATATGAATTAAAATATATATTTGAATTTAATCCAAACAAAAAACAAAAAATCATGGCAGGTTTATACATAATTGAATTGTGCTCCGTACAAAGATATTTGTAAAAAATTCTTATTACCAATATATGCAAAAAATACAAAGGCAAGATTATACGTGATTATTCAGTAATATGGCACTTGTTAACAAAATAACTGTGGAATCAATGGATGAAATCAGTTAGATATTTGTTAACAAAATAACTGTGGGATCAATGGATGAAATCAGTTAGATATTTGTTAACAAAATAACTGTGGGATCAATGGATGAAATCAGTTAGATATTTGTTAACAAAATAACTGTGGAATCAATGGATGAAATCAGTTAGATATTTGTTAACAAAATAACTGTGGAATCAATGGATGAAATCAGTTAGATATTTGTTAACAAAATAACTGTGGGATCAATGGATGAAATCAGTTAGATATTTGTTAACAAAATAACTGTGGGATCAATGGATGAAATCAGTCAGATATTTGTTAACAAAATAACTGTGGGATCAATGGATGAAATCAGTCAGATATTTGTTAACAAAATAACTGTGGGATCAATGGATGAAATCAGTTAGATATTTGTTAACAAAATAACTGTGGGATCAATGGATGAAATCAGTCAGATATTTGTTAACAAAATAACTGTGGGATCAATGGATGAAATCAGTCAGATATTTGTTAACAAAATAACTGTGGGATCAATGGATGAAATCAGTTAGATATTTGTTAACAAAATAACTGTGGGATCAATGGATGAAATCAGTTAGATATTTGTTAACAAAATAACTGTGGGATCAATGGATGAAATCAGTTAGATATTTGTTAACAAAATAACTGTGGGATCAATGGATGAAATCAGTTAGATATTTGTTAACAAAATAACTGTGGGATCAATGGATGAAATCAGTTAGATATTTCTACAGAAACAAATTATGCTCAAGTTACGCTTGCCGGTCCGTCAAATAATAATCATCCAGGTCTCTAGGCCTCAACATCTGAAAAGCTGGACCTACTGCCAGCTCTGTACTAATGACTACCCAGGCAGGACCTTACTTTGCAAGAAGTAATGAAATCTTTAATTAAGGCATGGATCTCTTTAGTCAGAAACACAAAACTTTACATTGCTGATTCTTACTAATCATAAAAAAACAACAAAAAAACTTGAATTGTAGAGTTTGTGATGTGCATCCTTAAACTTAAATAAATGTGTGCAAATGAAACATTGTGTCATCAGTTCATAAACAGCTGATGTTTTTAATCCCAAGCCAGGATGACTGTTCTTTAGTATTAATGGACAAATTCATCACATGACCATGTATTACAGCTTTTTTGTGGACATTAAATTCCAACAATATTTACCATGCATAAATTAAAAGCTAGAACTAAAAGTGACAGCAGTTTGCACCACCAAATATGAAAAGTAAGAAGTCTTTAAGAATATTCTATTTGAATCCTTTTTATGCATTTTCCTATGTTTAAACCTTGGACTTCTGTGCTGAAATGAAAATGAAATTCAAAGAAGGAAGCCAAATCAATAATCTCGGTACTGAGTATTGTGGGGCCAACGGGTTCACTAGTCAGTGTCCATGAGATAAATTTAAATGGTGTTTTCCTGTCACAATAAACTTTTGGTTTACAAAAAAATATGCTAAACATAAATGACCAGTGCTGGACACTTCATTATAATCATGCTAACATATGTGACCAGTGCTAGACACTTCATTATAATTATGCTAACATATGTGACCAGTGCCGGACACTTCTTTATGATCATGCTAACATATGTGACCAGTGCTGGACACTTCACTATAGTCATGTTCAGGCTTGTTTGACAAGATATATTTTGTTTTATAGCAACACTCCATACACAACTGAAGCTCATCTGAATGAACATGAAATAAACTATCTGTAAGTGAATACCAATCTGCATAGGTTTTTCACTGGAGACATTTTGTGGTATCTTGGCTTGAACTGCTTCAAAGACTCAAATTCTACTGCAATAAAACCATCATTGTTTATTTAATGTCACATAGAGCAGCCACACCTCGGAGAATCCACTGGTCAGGGCTGTGAATAGTCTTAAAAACAATTGTTGTGATGAAAGTCAGATCAGTTCTGCAGGGTTTCTTGTACACAGGACACTGATACAGTTTGGGGTCCTGTAAAGGATGATTGGTGTATATTCAATTTCCAAATGTTTACAAGTTATTTTGAAGGAAACAATGTATTTCAGCTTGAAATTTAAAAATGAAATATTGTGTTACATAACATAATTAAAAAATTACATGCTGCAAGTGTCAAATAAATTATTTTTGATAAAGAATTTTGTACAATTTTAAAGGTTTTACCCAGAATTGTAAAAATGTTATACAAAATAAGATACCTCAGATGTATTCAGTTAATAACCTCTTATTAGCATTTTTTTTTTAATTTGAGCAATGTGACACATTAAAATATTTTTAAAAATAATAATTTAGCTTTCAAACAATTGAAAGTATTAAAGGTTCTAGACTAGAATTAACAAGTTGCAAAGCAAACACACAGACCGATTAGGGGGTGATATCAAAAAGTCAAAGGTTAAGGTACTGAGCACAATCTGAATATCTAGAAATGTGATCGAAAAGAATCAGTAGAAAATAAAGCCAAGCTCCAGTTGGGTATAGTAGGGTATCTTGACACAATACATTGTAAAATGCATAATGTCCAGGTATAGATTACACAAAGCTTACGTCCACAGTTAAAATATGCACCAAATATTTTAGTTAAGCCAAGATTTATTTCCCTTTACCTTTGGAGTGGTGGAGTTGTTGGCATACATGTATGTGACAGGTAGTGAGACAAACATAAGATTTATTTCCCTTTACCTTTGGAGTGGTGGAGTTGATGGCGTACATGTATATGACAGGTAGTGAGACAAACATAAGATTTGTTTCCCTTTACCTTTGGAGTGGTGGAGTTGATGGCGTACATGTATATGACAGGTAGTGAGACAAACATAAGATTTATTTCCCTTTACCTTTGGAGTGGTGGAATTGATGGCATACATGTATATGACAGGTAGTGAGACAAACATAAGATTTATTTCCCTTTACCTTTGGAGTGGTGGAGTTGATGGCATACATGTATATGACAGGTAGTGAGACAAACATAACTTTGGGGCTGGATTCTGCCAGGCGCTGTTGTCTTCTGTCCCACTGAGCTCCATCCAAGTACAAGCCATAAATATAAACTCCTTCCTGAAGAGGCAGATAAAAATTTACAATTTCCTATCACTTGTTTATGCATGGTCATATTTTCTAAAGGAGGACAGCCCCCAGTTTCAATTCTCAGCTGGTTTATTTCATTAGTGTCGATTGATTTAAGGTCATGGAGTTAGATTTTGGTGGGGGTTTTCTCATGAGTGAATTTTATTACATGGAGTAGGGTTAAAAAAAATGTTAACAGAGAACCTGCGGCATTAAGAAGAAAAAATCATCTTGATATCAATCATCAAAGCTTCATTCATCAAGTTAATTTCAGGATTCAGACCCCAGCTATAATTCATTAGTAATTTATAAAAAATAAAATTAAAGCAAGCACTAAGGCACACACGCCCCTTGCCATTCCCAGACATCCATCATTTGACCAAAATCCAGGCTGTTGGGTATTCATTTATTTGCCCGAGTATTTAAAATCTCACATTAGTCTCTTGTAATCCAACTGTCAACTTAACCCAATTTCTTGGTCAATTTAATTTTAAATTAAAAGTTCTGTTGTTTGATAAAGTTTATCTTGGACATTTCCCCAACCCTTTTTCCTGCCTTCATCATATTATTCCTGAGTTAAAAGCTTGGAACATGGTGGTAGACTTACTGCAGGGCCAACAGAGATATCATCTTTAAAGTATTTTGTTACATCATTGTGCAGTGTTACTGTATCCAGGGCCCAGCCTTTGTGAGCTCGTGTCACCTCCTGTCTCATGGCAGTGAGGAACCCTGAATTCAAACAATTAACAGACACATTTTACTTAAAGGAAATACATCTAAACTGTTGGGCTTGTGCCAGGGCATAAGGTTTATTAAACTTAACAATTTAATTTTAAAGATTTTATTATGATCTCATAAGGCTAAACAAAACTGGTCTATCTTGCATCGCGAAGGTTAGGCATAAAATAAAGCTATCATGCCATTCACCTTGCCAACCGCTCCCATTTGATTGTGTTTGAACATATGTTCACATAAAAATAAGTGCAATTATCATGAGAGTATTTTAGAAAATGACCTTGAGGATTAAAAAAGCCAGTCATCCAAAAAACTGGTGGTCTCCCTTGAAAAATCCAAGTGGAGAACTGGTTGTTCCGGTCCAGTAAATCAGTGAACCAAAACCCAATGGTGGAGCTCTGCCACGAGTACCTGATCCAGCGTTTGGGGACTCGGGCATCAAATATGTTATCCAGTGCATCTCGGAGAATCTTCAATTTAAACAAAATTAGTGAATATTTTTTAAAACACTCTTGATGAACATAATTTAAAAAATAATCTTCAAGCATCAATCTATATAGTCTATTAAATACTCAAAACAAATGTATTTAAAAAAAAAAAAACGCTAAATAATTTTTTTTTAAAATCATTCACAGAAAATTGTCTAATGTATACGCCCACAAATTTAAAAATATGTTATTATCCATAATTTTAAAGTTATAAAAAATGAACATTAAAACTAAACAGGTCTGAAAATATGATCTGCATGAAAAACTATTCTGAACAGCTTTTTACATATAAATAACTGAGTCCAATGATTTTCAAACAGGTTTCTATGGCCCAATGATCCCCCAAGTGGCCATGAACTAAAGTTTCTGAAACCCAACTCCCCAAAAAAATAAAAAACATTATTTTTGTTGACTTGTCTCTAAACTTTGTCCACTAAACTGCTTCACTTCATAACCTTAGAGTTTTAAGAAAAAGTTACCTGGAAAGTTGATAAATATTATAGTCCTTGAGAAATTTCAGAATTTGAAAGGATGATGGTACAGAGTGAGTTACAAATGAATTCATTACAGCAAGTTAATCTTGATCTGGGATGACAGATACAATTAGGGTCCCCCCATTAAAAAAATGTAAATTACACTGGTCTAGTCACACAACAGTAACAACCAATCAATTTTGTGTAATAGTACCTCACTCATAATAATGGTGCCGTCAATGGCTAGCTTGAGATCTGACAATGTGGCTCTGACCATAGTGATGACCTTCTGCATTCTGTCAATCTCTTGGCGCAGAAAAATATTCAGTGGCTGTAAGATCCCCATTTTCTTCAGCTGTGCTTTTACCTATATGTGGGCATCAAAATAATAAGAGAAGATCTGAGTTCCCATTCAGAACATTAAATTCCCACCCATATAGGGCCGTTTTAGGATCATTTGAGGCCCTAGGCACTTCAGCATAAAAAATGTATTTGCAAGCTCTTTCAATTTAATGTCCATGTTGGTCAACAGTAAATATATTTACTTTGTTTTTGAATTTTTTTACATTAGTCATTAATACACATTAATTTTTATGAATAATTAGGATATTTACAATGTAAACGAGCCTATATAATATGAAGCACCTACATCCCAGTGGCTAAACAATTGGGGCCATTTTGCTTGATTTTTTTTAAGGACTATCCTCTAATGTCTAATAAATACAATAGTTAAATACAACAGTTGAATACAATAGTTAAATACAACAGTTGAATGCAATAGTTAAATACAATAGTTTTATGATCTATATTTGAAGACCTCAGCGAAAAAAACAAGACACGTCATACATTTTCATTTTTGAGTAATCCCCCTTAAATTATCTGCATTCAACGATGGGACAAGCCCGTTTTCCTCCCTGTGACTACCATCAATTGAAACTGAATTAATGCGGGAGACTACATTTGAAGACGTTGCATTTGTTTTGCAAAATGCAAAGGTTGAAAAGCTAATATCACCAAATTGTAGTATTGTATTATTGTATTTTAAAGATTATTACAATTATTATAAATCTGTATGATTGTCTAAAATAAAAATAAATGAAATGGAAAAAAACAATTATATTTTCAATTTTGTTTTTGTTATATTAGGGTACATTCCTATTTAAAATTTCCTTCTTAGACTTTTGAAGGCCCCTGTAGGTTCATAGGCCTTAGGCACAGTGCGTATGGACTGTGCCTATTGAATGAGATGGCCCTGCATACATACCCCACAGATGGGGCTGCCCATGAATTATAATTATTAACTTGCGATGCAAATCAAATTAATATTCTTCAACTTTTTAAATTTCCAAATATTTTATTTTAGGTTTATGTTTTTAATTTCATCAAATTAGAAATCATTAACACTATCAATATACACTCGTATTTAGATTTAAAGTCTGGTAGTCAATTTTATGCCACATAGTCGCAAAATTCAAACAAAATAAACTTGGTCTATTTTAGATGTTCAATTATATTAATTTAGATTTTCATTTACTTTAAAAATTATATTCACCAATGATTTTATGTAAGAGAAACAAGATAACCACGGGGGAACAAAAGCATACACAAAATTATGTAGTTCCAAGAGGGGTAATTAGAGAGTGATTAACTCTGTTCAACTTACATCCCAAGGGATGTAATCCCCAGGCAACTTGCTCAGCATGTCTTCAGCAAGCCTGTAGACAACAGATTCTCTGGTCTCACCACTGCCACCACTAGAATCTTTAGGCTGGATGCTGACTATGGTATCTAGAAACTGTTTGGCAGTATTAGTCTGGTACCTGGGAAAAGCCACAAGAAAGCTTGTACAAATATAAGTGACATCATTTCGATTTAAACAAAGGAAAAATGACGAAGAAAGTAATGAGATGAAAATATTTTAAAGATTCAATTTTTTTTAAAGTTTAAAATATTGAAAAATTTATTAGAAAAAAAAAAGACAATTTTTAAAACTTATAAACTTAAAAATGTATGAAATTAAAAACAAAATCAGAATGTTCTCATTAAACAAAAATGCACAGCGACAGACGTGATATCAGCATTTGGATGTAAGCCGAGAGCCTCCGGAGAGTCGACTACAGGGAGATTTTCAATAAATTCCAGTATTTCCACATAGACACGAGAGCGGGCAATTTTGTACCTCTTGTAAAACTGGAAACTGTCATTGAACATAAACTCTCCAAACCAAACCTAGATCAGTACAAAGAGGGGAAAGAAAACCTAGATCAGAAAAAAGAGGGGAAAGAAAAGCTAGATCAGAACAAAGAGGGGAAAGAAAACCTAGATCAAAACAAAGAAGGGAGAGAAAACCTAGATCAGAATAAAGAGGGGAAAGAAAACCTAGTTAAGAACAAAGAGGGGAACGAAAACCTAGATCAAAACAAAGTAGGGGGGGGAGCAAAAAATAAAAAGGAATGTTCTGTAAAAACATCTTGCTCCATTGCTAGTAATTTTAGCATTAAAAATTGACAATTAAAAAAAAAATGTGCTTTACAACAAAACACAACGCAATGAAACATTGGTAAAAAATATCTCTAGACATTTTTACAATGAAAACGCCATTGAAATGTATTAAAATTTGGCCAGTTACCTTGGTTAGGGTGTTGAGCAGTCTTTTGTCAAAGTCATCTGTGACACGTCCACCGTATTGGACTTCCCCAATCATATACCTCACAGTTGGCCATGAAATACCCTGTCATAGATTTGTATTTGACATCCACTTTCAAATCAACACATACGGAATTTATGTAAGGTCAAAGTTTAATTACTTATTTATAAAATTTGAATTCAAATTTTTATAACAAAAAAAAAAAACAAAGGAATTTTTTTTATTATGCATTTTAACAGAAATGAAGTGGAACTTCTGAAAAAATTTAAGAACTCAACTACTGTATTGGTTGTAGAGTAACTGCCATCTAATCCCTACTTGATCAGAATTCGCTACCTCTTAGCAATTTATAAATACCTCCAAGCAATTTACTATTATTTAAGTCTATTTCACTAATGCTAATCACTACTCACCCTTTTTACATCCATATCGTCAAGATGATTTTGTATGAACTGGACACTAGCTCCCCAATCAGAGGTATTAAATTCATAAGGTATGTTCCATCCTAGTGGACCAAACTTCCGTCGTTCCTAAGATAAGAGCCATTGGTATTTTCAAGACAAAAATATATTTATGCTTATGTGTAAGTAATTATATTTCTTTAACCACTAAATTTAATAATGTGCATGTGCAGAATCTAAATGTGCAGCCAATATTAACACACACTTGTTAACCTCCAGTACTAATGTGAATGTGCGGTGAATGTTAACACATACTTGTTAAACTCCAGAAAAAAATAACCAGATTAATAAAAACTCCACAAAAATCTGACAAAGCATTAATATTAAAACATTTAAATGGAACATTAAGTTATCAAGCTTATGTACGCTGTGCAGCAGGAGTACTCAAAATCTGGTCCAGAGCCTAAAATCTGTCCTGCAAGGTAATTTTAAATGGCCTGCCAACAATTTCCGAAATTGTAAAAATAATAGTAATAATAATAATTTCTAAAGCAGCCTGACGTTCTTTATGAGCGTCCATACTTCTACCCTCCCCCGTCATAGTGGACTAGGTCTAGTCAGACATCTTAAAGCAGCTACCCCCCTCCCCCTCCCGTCATAGTGGACTAGGTCTTGTCAGTCATCTTAAAGCAGCTAACCCCCTCCCCCCGTCATAGTGGACTAGGACTTGTAAGACATCTTAAAGCAGTTCAACCGATATATCTATCACTGTGTCATTCATCAGTCTGTTCTGAGATCAAAACTGAGAAGTGAATTTTCAGGAGGGATGGTAAAGAAACATTTTAATTTCATCATAAGCAATTTTATTCATCATCCCAGCAACTTCTATTTAACAGTTTCTTAAAAAGAGTTTGGAATTTTACACAAATGTAGACAAGATGGAAACTTTTGCTTTCTTGGTGGACATTGCTTGTGATCTCAATGAGCTTAATATTTGGTGACTGGGAAGATAAAGACTGTAATGGAGGTTCAATGCCATTTCTTTAAAAGAAATTCATTTGGAATCAAGTCAGCTGCTTCATTTTCATACAATCTGTAAGACAGGCATTTAAGACTGGCTACGGTCCCCAAGACTTAAATTGAAACAAGAAAAAGTTAAAAACAGAATTTCTTAACAATGATTGTGAACTTGCATTTGTTTAAAGTTTACTTCTTTGCAACAGATAAGATGTTACATTAAGTGACATTATAAGAAATAGCACTTGAGTTGTCATTCTAGGCTTCATCATTGGAAAAGACAATGTGTCACTTCAGAGTGTTACAAGAAATTGATTTGTCAGCTTCCATACTTGGTTTAAGACAAGGCTTTGAAGGCCCATACAAAAAATATATTTACTAGAAAATAAATAACACTGTAACTCTTTGGAATAGTTTATTATATTTAAAAACCTATCACTTTTATTTAAGGTTATAAATTAGTTCAAATATTACTTTTATTTTTATAGATTTAAAATTTTATAAGTTAAAATTGATATAATATGTTTAATTAATTTTTGACATTAATTTTAAAATATATTTAAGAAGATTATTTAACAAAAATTCAAAAGATTTATAAATTAAAAACTACATTTTTAAAATTTAAAAACAATTAAAGTTATTCCTCTTTGTAAATACATTTTTATCTCCCTTGAAATTACATGATTTTTTTTTTCCTGCTATTCAACTTTAACAAATAAATGCACTTTTAATGTTTTTAATTCTATAACTTAGAAGAGTAAAAAATATATGTGCTTTATATACAATAAGTATAAAACGTGATTACTAAATACCACAGCTTGTATACTCAATTAACTTGATCTGTAAATTATAAACAAACTGAATAGAATTCCACGACCTCTAGTTTTTAATCTGAATATAATTATCTTTGGTGTTCAAAACCTTTATCTATGAACTTGAAGACTTAGAACTCTAATCTAACTTAAATTTACTTTTTACAGGATAATAAATGAAGGACTGCGCTCCAGATGTGTAAATGAAATAGAAGAGAAAAGTATGTGGAAGCTTAAATAGAAAGACAATAAAAGAAGAAGGCTTCCGCTAAGAACCTTCCTCAGCAGACAGAACAAAGAACAAACGTTTTTTTTTAGAAGACTATATGCGCAATAATGTGCAACATAGGAATTTGGTGTTTTTTTCAGGCTGGTGAAATGAAGAATAATTTATGGAATGGTTTATTTTAACAACTATTACTTTTACTATAAAATGTTTGCTAGAATTGAACTATTTCAGATTATGACATGTGCCAACCCTATTGGGTCAAAATTGGCACCAAAAACCCTCTAAAAATGTTAAACAGCATAAAAAAACTGTAAACCTAATATTAAAAGTCGAAAATAGCATAATTTATCACATTTTGTCATCATTTTTTACCTTTGTTTTGAATTCAATAATAAAAAAATGATTTATCTCCCCTAAGTGGTAATGCACATTTTAGGGTCCATCCTTAAATGACTTCAATTTTTTTTTAATTGATTTTTTTGCCCCCCCCCCACCCCCCACCCCTGTGGTGCAGGAGACCTATTTGCTGCCATTGCTAGTTGTTGCTCTCTTTTTCCAAAAATATTTCACTTTTAATGTGACGTCACGTTGCTTACCCCCAATCTCCTTGTCAAAAAATCATCACAAAAATGTGACGACCCCCCCCCTAGACATATGACATTATTTATGGATGGCCTCTAGCATGTTTAAAATAAAATAATTTACATCATTCATAAATGGATAGATCGCAGGTTTTAAATGATAATAGCTCGTTTTCAGACCGATGTTCATCAAATTTTTAATTTTTTTAAAATAATTAATTATGGTAATTTTTTTAAAAATTTGCTCAGATGATGAATTTGATAACAATAAAGATGTAATTAGACATAATTCTTATGCTTGCTGTGGAAATAAATATCCCTGTATTAAATTAAATTAACAAAGTAATATATAGTCAGTCTTAACAAAGTTATTGAGTTCAGTTTACAGGCAAATAAATGTCCGGTGGGGAGGTGGGGGGGAGCAGACATTTATTTTCACAAATCCATTCAATTTGTTTTTAAATTTTTTAAAATTTGCTATAAACAGAATCAGCGGATCTCCATGTCATTGCCATATTCTTGGTCCCAGACTTCAATTTTGAACCCCATAAATATTGGAATATGTTAAATAAAAGATGCACCAAAATTAGAATATGTGGTGAAAGCAAAATATTAATAAATTTGTGATCTCAAGGATAAGCTAGACAAAATGTTTATTAAATTTGTGATCTCAAGGATAAGCTAGACAAAATGTTTAATAAATTTGTGATCTCAAGGATAAGCTAGAAATGTTTAAAATTAAATTTGTGATCTCAAGGATAAGCCAGACAAAATGTTTACAAAATTTGTGTTCTCAAGGATAAGCTACACAAAATTTATGATATCAAGGCTAAGCTAGACATTTTAGAAAGGTTTGTGCCCAGCGAACTCGTAATAAAAAGTTTTTTGAAAAAGAGACTGCACTTGGTGAATGGGGCTTGGTAATCAGCTGATTTAAATTTGTGAAATATTTAAAAACCTGAACAACTGTGTGCAGGAAAGACACCGTGTACAGAAGGGGGCGCCACTGAGGTATGTTGAAAATGTCAATGAATTCCTGTGAGAAAGATGAATAAGTTCTCTTGAGGCCGGCTTTGATGCCTTGAGGTGGGTCATTGGTGAATTTGATGGAAACCTGTCAAGGTGGTCAACAATTGGGGAAATTAATGGAAAAATAAATGACAATTAAGTATCATAATAACATTAACACCAGATCCTGAAATTTTTAAAATTAAGTTGAAAAGCATTTATGAAGGTAATAATAATAATGACTCCAAAGGAGATTAAGCCTTTATTCTTATTTGTAAACTTACAAATTTTTACTAATCTTATTTCAGGAAACAAAAATGAAAATAATAGAATAATAAAGAAAAACATTAAAACATACAAAAATAAGTAAGCCTAATTTTAACATGAAAATCATGGAGGAGACATGCTTTACCTGTAACAAACCAATAGAGAAAGAATTGTGAGCTTCTGAGGTGATCCAGAGCCGAAAACGTGAGTTGGCATGATCTGCTTCCAAGACTGTGATCAGGACCTCCTCAAGGTATTGCAGACACAGATGGCAATTTTGGAGCAAGGCCCAGCCTCCCTTGAGACAAAAGGTAACACATTATCTCAATCAGTGACTTAGTAAGATTTTCATTTTATTTAGATCAGAAAGATTGAGAAACGACTCATAGGGCCTCATTTTTAAATGCACTTTTTTAATTTTAATCTCCCAACAAGGATTGCTCACAATAGTCATTTCACAGTTGGTAACATTAGGAAAACTATTACTTTACAACTAAATTTCTAGTATCAAATGAAAACCATAATTTATTATTTTTTCTTCTGACAACTGTGCAAGGTCTCTCCATTTTAAAAGCATTAAACATTTGTTCTTCAACTAGTAGAACACGACTCACTTAAAGCTTAATGATTTTACTTGAAAATGCAACAACAATATCAAAGTCCATAAATCTGTTGAAAGTTCTTAAAATGTGATTGACCCATATAATCATGAATAAGCTTCTTGTTACACATCTAAAAGACACCCAATGAAATCATTTTGAAAAAATACAAAACAACATTCACTGATTTTCAAACTGTTACAACTGGAACATTCAAACAAAACATCCCTCTTTCTTTCCAGGTACAGAGTTGTCCAGGCTAAAATAAGCAAACAACCTGTTCCATGAAACTGGACATCAGCTTCCGTGCATGAACCTCTTGCCCTTGTCCCATAGATACAGCATGGAAAGCTGGAATTACAACCAAGCAAGATTAAATTTTATATGTATATGTTACATGAAATGGACAAGCTTAACTATATCCCCTCTCATGAGTGATCAATAACAGAGCCGTCTCATGGACCCAGCATCCCCTGTGACTGTGAGGACCTTGGATATTTAAATGGCCAAAACGTGTGATGTGTAAAAAAAAACAAAAAACTAATAGTTTTCTGAACTAACCAACTTTTCATTTGGAAAGAGATCGTTTTCACGTGGTGTGAGGATAATAAATCAAAGCTTCCAAGTTTGATTTTTTGAAAATGACTTTATAAACAAAAGTTCTCATACTTCCTAGTTATGACTAAATGTTACATTTCATTTATTTAGGGGTTATATTTTCATTTTTTTTTTAATATTACATTTTCATTTTTTTAATATTACATTTTTTATTTATTTAATATTACATTTTCATTTTTTTAATATTACATTTTTATTTATTTTATGTTACATTTTCACTTTCTTAATATTACATTTTCATTTTTTTTAATATTACATTTTCATTTTTTTAATGTTACATTTTTATTTATTTAATATTACATTTTCATTTTTTTAATATTAAATTTTTATCTATTTGATGTTACATTTTCATTCATGACTGAGAACTAAACCAATTAAGAGCAAACAAAACTGTCAAGTGACAACACTCACGAATCTCCATTCTTTTAGCCAGAGTTTCAATTTCACTGGTGGGGTCAGATCCCATGGACAGCAGAGCTATGAGTGGGATTTTTTTACTGGCCTCATCATTCATGGACTCAAGGTCAAGGATTAATGCCTCTGTGTACTTGGGGCCAAGTGAGTTGCCAATGTATTGCCTGGCCTGAACTGAAGTGCGATCTGGACACCAGGACCTGGTGTTTAACAAGGAACATTTTTTTTTTTTTAAATTGTTTAATTCACTTCTTCACCAACAGTTTGAGTTATGTTAGAATTGTTAATTTATATCAAGTTTTGTTATTAACGAAAACCAACTAAACTCAAACCAAAACTATTGATTGCTCTGCCAGCTTTGATATAGTAATCAAATAAAACCATTGACAAACTATCTCAGCTATTAAACTATTTTGTTAACTTTGCAACTGATAGACACCTGATGGAGTGAGTTTAACTGACCTGGTAAAGTGAGTATAATTGACAGAGTATAACTGACCTGATAGAGTGAGTTTAACTGACCTGGTAAAGTGAGTATAATTGACAGAGTATAACTGACCTGATAGAGTGAGTGTAACTGACCTGGTAGAGTGAGTGAGTATAACTGACCTGGTAGAGTGAGTGAGTGTAACTGACCTGGTAAAGTGAGTATAACTGACAGAGTATAACTGACCTGATAGAGTGAGTGTAACTGACCTGGTAGAGTGAGTGAGTATAACTGACCTGGTAGAGTGAGTGAGTGTAAATGACCTGGTAAAGTGAGTATAATTGACAGAGTATAACTGACCTGATAGAGTGAGTGTAACTGACCTGATAGAATGAGTGTAACTGACCTTATAGAGTGAGTATAACTGACCTGGTAGGGTGAGTATAACTAAACTGGTAGAGTGAGTGTAACTGACCTGGAAGAAAGAGTATAACTGACCTGTTAGAATAAAACTGACCTGATGAGGAGGAGTTTAGGGAAAGGATCTAGGTTAGAATAGTTATCAGGAATGTTCTCCTCCTCTGGTGCTGGCTTGTCATACCATTGTTTCCATGCTCTTTCATTGTTGCTCACCTGCAGATGGAAGTTAGTCAGTCAGTCAGGCAAACATGTGAAAAACAATAAGTAATGAAAACATTATTTTATTATTCCTTCTGGGCATCACTTTGGGACCCCTACTAGGCCTCCCTTTGGGACCCCTACTAGGCCTCACTTTGGGACCCCTACTAGGCCTTACTTTGGGACCCCTACTAGGCCTCACTTTGGGACCCCTACTAGGCCTCACTTTGGGACCCCTACTAGGCCTCACTTTGGGACCCCTACTAGGCCTCCTTTTGGTACCCCTACTAGGCCTTACTTTGCGACCAGAGTAAAATTACAGAACTTATTTATTTAATTTTAAAAGTATTTACAAATATTTAAAGGTGTTATGCCCCAGATTGTGCTAGAAACAAATTTAAGACAATGTTATAGCATTGCTCTTACCATGTACTTGTACTAGTGTATTTTGATCAGTGAGAATAGCATGTACCCATACTAGTATATTTCTAAATTGTGATCAGTAAGACCAGAATGTACCTGTGCAAGTATGCTTCTAAAGTGTGGTAATTCATAATATCATGTACCTGTACAGGTGTATTTACACTAGTATGTACCTGTACAAGTATGCTTCTAAAGTGTGGCACATCGCTAAGCTTGACCAAGTTCAGCCATGTCATGTCAGAGATCCACCTGGCAGGTTTGGGGGGCACAGCATTCATGTCCAGGGCGGCACCACCTGGTTCCCATACAAATATCATGTTAAATTGATAAATAGCTGGTGGCCCCAAGCCTTGGCTTAAAAACAAAATGAAAGAAATTATCAATGGTATTTTTAAAACTAAAACGTAGCAAGATTTTAAAAAATGGTGGATATTTCACATTTATAAACATTCATTTAAATAAAAAAAACAAATGCAAAATTAAAACTATAAGAAGTGAGTGATGAAATGGAGACATTTCGGTGGTCTATAAAAAATAAGATGCTACAAATAACCCTGACAGGTATATTAACATCTCAAGAAATCTTGAAAAAAAAAAAACATTTTAAACAAACAAAAAAAAAAAAAGGGGGGGGCAGTCTCTGGTCTGTCATGATGAGGTTCTTTGTTCTTTCACTGCTGTCTCCTTTAGGCTGAGCTCAAATTCTCTATTTTATTTGAACAGGTGGGAAACCTACTGAATCATCATCAATATTTAAGATTTAGAAAATATTACATGTGACTCAATCAAAATTGTCTACAAAAATTTTTTTCTTAAAATATATAGAGTCTATATTTTTTTAAATTTAAATTTTCAGCAAATTCAAAGAAATGGGCCTCAAACTTTCCCTAACTCAGAGATTAATTTTTGAAAAAAAAAAAGAGAAAATAATTGATTTTGATGAGTTATCAATTTTTTTTTAATTGACAGGGAGTAAATGACTCAAACCCCCTGTTTTACACATGGAACACAATCAGGATTAACATAGAAATATTCAAGGTCCTTTAGGTTCAACATATTCTTATTATAATGCAACAGTTTACCTTTGATGAAGACCTGGAACTCCAAGTTACGAATGATGCCCTTCGCCATGTCAATTTTTATAGCTAAAAGAATGCTGAAGAGTTGTCTGTCTTGGTTGTAGAGTGAACGGATCATGTAAGCCCATACCTCATAGGTGAGATACTCAATAATGTTGGCAATTCTTCTCTGGTTGTTAAGATTTGGCTTGGATCTGAGGGTGGTAATTATTCAAGAATATGTTCATTTAAGATAAGTATCCCTGTGCATGTCAAACTGTGTCTAATTCTTGCGCACAGAGTCCTATATACTTACCAATTATAAAATGTACCCAGGGGTGGACTGGGCCACCGGGACACCGGGAAGATTCCCGATGGGCCGCTAGGACCGGTGATACAATAAAAATAAAAGTCATTACGATAGGGCCGCTTTTTGTTTTTTTCCCGGGCCGCTTTGATTTTTTCCCGGGCCGCTTGAACTCCTCAGCCCACCCATGAATGTACCATTAAATAAATCCCTCTCATATTGATCAGCTGATGCCTATCACTCTCATATTGATCAGCTGATGCCTATCACTCTCATATTGATCAGCTGATGCCTATCACTCTCATATTGATCAGCTGATGCCTATCACTCTCATATTGATCAGCTGATGCCTATCACTCTCATATTGATCAGCTGATGCCTATCACTCTCATATTGATCAGCTGATGCCTATCACTCTCATATTGATCAGCTGATGCCTATCACTCTCATATTGATCAGCTTCATATTGATCAGCTGATGCCTATCACTCTCATATTGATCAGCTTATGCCTATCACTCTCATATTGATCAGCTGATGCCTATCACTCTCATATTGATCAGCTGATGCCTATCACTCTCATATTGATCAGCTGATGCCTATCACTCTCATATTGATCAGCTGATGCCTGTCACTCTCATATTGATCAGCTGATGCCTATCACTCTCATATTGATCAGCTGATGCCTATCACTCTCATATTGATCAGCTGATGCCTATCACTCTCATATTGATCAGCTGATGCCTGTCACTCTCATATTGATCAGCTGATGCCTATCACTCTCATATTGATCAGCTGATGCCTATCACTCTCATATTGATCAGCTGATGCCTATCGCTCTCATATTGATCAGCTGATGCCTATCACTCTCATATTGATCAGCTGATGCCTATCACTCTCATATTGATCAGCTGATGCCTATCACTCTCATATTGATCAGCTGATGCCTATCACTCTCATATTGATCAGCCGATGCCTTAAATTTAATCTCTGATGAAATCAACAGCAAGTTCAACACTGAATTTTTTTGGAATTCGTAGTTAACATGCGATTGAGAGACCCACTCAACAAAACTGTTCAAAATAATTCCTGCAGATTTTTCTTAGCTGGGGCATATACGCTAATACTCTGATGGGATCATTAGATTTATTCATTGAAAAATAATCAACCGTTTGTGATATCATATGTTGGAGTGACATACCCTGGGTGTTGGAGTGACATACCCAAGGTGGTGGAGTGACATGCCCTGGGTGGTGGAGTGACATACCCTGGGTGTTGGAGTGACATGCCCCGGGTGTTGGAGTGACATACCCTGGGCGGTGGAGTGACATACCCCAAGTGTTGGAGTGACATACCCTGAGTGTTGGAGTGACATACCCTAGGTGTTGGAGTGACATGCTCTGGGTGTTGGAGTGACATACCATGGGTGGTGGAGTGACATACCATGGGTGGTGGAGTGACTACCCCAAGTGTTGGAGTGACATACCCTGAGTGTTGGAGTGACATGCCCTGGGTGGTGGAGTGACATACCCTGGGTGTTTGAGTGACATACCATGGGTGTAAGAGTGACATAACCTAGGTGTTGGAGTAACATGCTCTGGGTGTTGGAGTGACATACCCAAGGTGGTGGAGTGACATACCATGGGTGGTGGAGTGACATACCCTGGGTGTTGGAGTGACATACCCTGAGTGTTGGAGTGACATACCCTAGGTGTTGGAGTGAATTCTCTGGGTGATGGAGTGACATACCATGGGTGGTGAAATGACATACCCTGGGTGGTGGAGTGACATACCCCAAGTGTTGGAGTGACATACCCTGAGTGTTGTAGTGACATACCCTGGGTGGTGGAGTGACATACCCTGGGTGTTCGAGTGACATACGTTGGGTGTGGGAGTGACATACCCTGGGTGTTGGAGTGACATGCTCTGGGTGTTGGAGTGACATACCATGGGTGGGGGCGTGACATACCCAACCCTGGGTGTTGGAGTGACATACGATGGGTGGTGGAGTGACATACCCTGGGTGTTGGAGTGACTACCCTGGGTGTTGGAGTGACATACCCCGAGTGTTGGAGTGACATACCCCAGTGTTGGAGTGACATACCCTGGGTGGTGGAGTGACATACCCTGGCTGATGGAGTGACATACCCCAAGTGTTGGAGTGACATACCCCAAGTGTTGGAATGACATACCCTGGGTGGTGGAATGACATACCCAAGTGTTGGAGTGACTTACCCTAGGTGTTGGAGCGACATACCCGAGTGTTGGAGTGACATACCCTGGGTGTTGGAGTGACATACCTAGAGTGTTGGAGTGACATACCCTGAGACATAAATGATTTACTTTTTTGTTTCTCCAGCTGTGTTTGTGAAGGGAGACGAATCATGACACCATTCTCATCAGAGCAAATTATTGTTTTATAAATGAATTGTGTGTGTCAGCCAGGGCAGACATCCCATCCAACCACTCCATAAGATAAGATACTTTTATTGATCCAAATAAATGGAAGTTGTTTTTTTTTCATTCATCAAACATTTTTTTTTTCAGTCTTGAAAATTCTTGAGTTTTTGTTGTTCTTTGAAATTAGTCAGTAGCAAGACTGTCATGAATAATGGTAATGTATTAAGTGCTTCTCTTAAATATGATGTTGGCCGTAATTTATGTTGACTAAAGATAGCTCACCTGGCCATTGATTGGTCAAATAGTGCAAGAAACTGATTGAGAGAGGTGGAGTACATGTTGTTGACCATGACCATGTCACACACCAAGAAGTACAGGATGCTGCCACGTTGGGCAACTATGGTCAGGTGGAAGCAATTAAAAATATGGTCAGAAGCAGGAATAAAATGTGGTTACTAGCCTGGTCTAAAATTGTTTTCAATTACAACGGTCAAGTATGGTAACAAGAGAGAGAGCTCTTGTGAAAAAAAATATCAGATAAGGAAGCGTAAATATTTCTTAATTTATTTTGTAAAACTTTGTCTGAATTGTTCTCACACAGCTGAACTAAAGACATAATGCCTCAATCATAATAACTCAATCATCGAGTCATAATAACTCAATCATCAGTCATAATAACTCAATCATCAATCATAATAACCCAATCATCAGTCATAATAACTCAATCATCAAGTCATAATAACTCAATCATCAGTCATAATAACTCAATCATCTATTTATAGGTAATGATCTATGAAGAAACATTTTGCTCATTAGTGCTTCTCTTCAACCAAGGGAGGCAAGTTTGTTATACTTGGTATAAATCAAGTCTAGGGAAGGGAGGCAAGTTTGTTATACTTGGTATGAATCAAGTCTAGGGAAGGGAGGCAAGTTTGTTATATTTGGCATAAATCAAGTCTAGGGAAGGGAGGCAAGTTTGTTACATTTGGCATAAATCAAGTCTAGGTAAGGGAGGCAAGTTTGTTATACTTGGTATAAATCAAGTCTAGGGAGTCAGTGGTCAGATTTGAAATATTTGTTGTCTAATTTCAGGTAAAAAAAGCCACTATAAGCTCTCAGAAAAAGGTCTAAGCATACCTTTATGATTTTGAGGCACTATTGTAAACAGTTCAAAAGTCCATCCTACCTGGCCTGAATTCTTCTCTCGCGATGTTGATCTCCGCACTAGTTTCTGCAGCTATTGCCAGCTTTTCATTCACTTCTATTGCAGTCTTTTTGGTGGTCTGCAGCACTTCAACCAGTGTTGGATCATCTACCAAGGATCCCTTGATTCAAATAATACAACGATGGAAACAAGCTCCAAGGATTTTTAAATAAATAAAGATATCATGTCAAACAGAATTAGAAACACAACTATTTTCAAGCATGTAGCCACCAGCTAAGAAGGTCAATGAGCAGTTAATGTATATTACTGTGTATAATCCAAGAAATTTATTATAAAAAAAGGCTCTTTAGATATATAGCTACATGCTATATGCACATGCTATATGCACATGCTAGCAAGTTTTCCTTAAATGATATATACTAATGCAAGTGCAAACAAATCTTCTTGACACACTCTCATTTGGCCACAGAGCGCGCATCTATTTGTGCGTGAAGAAAGCAATGAAAGTAGTGCCCCCTTGATGGGATATTAACATAGCTTTATCGGTATGACCACAGTCCATTTTAAATATTGTAATACTTTAAAGGACATTGTAATCACTATTTTTGATTAAATATATCTTGAGTTAGTTTGCATTGTATTAGTCATAATGTTATGTTAGTTTGTATTGTATTAGTCATAATGTTATGTTAGTTTGTATTGTATTAGTCATAATGTTATGTTAGTTTGTATTGTATTAGTCATAATGTTATGTTAGTTAGCATTGTATTAGTCATAATGTTATGTTAGTTTGTATTGTATTAGTCATAATGTTATGTTAGTTAGCATTGTATTAGTCATAATGTTATGTTAGTTTGTATTGTATTAGTCATAATGTTATGTTAGTTTGTATTGTATTAGTCATAATGTTATGTTAGTTTGTATTGTATTAGTCATAATGTTATGTTAGTTTGTATTGTATTAGTCATAATGTTATGTTAGTTTGTATTGTATTAGTCATAATGTTATGTTAGTTTGTATTGTATTAGTCATAATGTTATGTTAGTTTGTATTGTATTAGTCATAATGTTATGTTAGTTTGTATTGTATTAGTCATCATGTTATGTTAGTTTGTATTGTATTAGTCATAATGTTATGTTAGTTAGCATTGTATTAGTCATAATGTTATGTTAGTTTGTATTGTATTAGTCATCATGTTATGTTAGTTTGTATTGTATTAGTCATAATGTTATGTTAGTTAGCATTGTATTAGTCATAATGTTATGTTAGTTTGTATTGTATTAGTCATAATGTTATGTTAGTTAGTATTGTATTAGTCATAATTTTTCTCTTAGTTTGTATTGTATTAGTCATAATGTTATGTTAGTTAGTATTGTATTAGTCATAATTTTTCTCTTAGTTTGTATTGTATTAGTCATAATGTTATGTTAGTTTGTATTGTATTAGTCATAATGTTATGTTAGTTTGTATTGTATTAGTCATCATGTTATGTTAGTTTGTATTGTATTAGTCATAATGTTATGTTAGTTTGTATTGTATTAGTCATAATGTTATGTTAGTTAGTATTGTATTAGTCATAATGTTATGTTAGTTTGTATTGTATTAGTCATAATGTTATGTTAGTTAGTATTGTATTAGTCATAATTTTTCTCTTAGTTTGTATTGTATTAGTCATAATGTTATGTTAGTTTGTATTGTATTAGTCATAATGTTATGTTAGTTTGTATTGTATTAGTCATAATGTTATGTTAGTTAGCATTGTATTAGTCATAATGTTATGTTAGTTTGTATTGTATTAGTCATAATGTTATGTTAGTTAGCATTGTATTAGTCATAATGTTATGTTAGTTTGTATTGTATTAGTCATAATGTTATGTTAGTTAGCATTGTATTAGTCATAATGTTATGTTAGTTAGTATTGTATTAGTCATAATTTTTCTCTTAGTTTGTATTGTATTAGTCATAATGTTATGTTAGTTAGTATTGTATTAGTCATAATTTTTCTCTTAGTTTGTATTGTATTAGTCATAATGTTATGTTAGTTTGTATTGTATTAGTCATAATATTATGGAACAAGATTAACAGGTTGCATTATACGAGGACAGGTCTTTTTTTGGACAAAAGTTAGGGGTTTGCATTATACGTGGGTCATTTTATATGCAGTAATATAGCGTAATCCAATTTGCACAAGAAAAACATGCTTCTAAAGCCATCTTTTATCTATTGTTTCATCAAAATAGTTGTTTCAAATATTTTGAAAAGGGAGTTATTAACTTACACCACATATAAAAACAAAATGTTTTGCAGATTAAAAAAAACAACAACAATACCTGAATACTTGTCAGCTTGAACAGAAGGTTTTCTTCCAAACTTTTGATCCTACGCTTATTATCAGTGACATCGATGATCAGACGAAGTCTCTCTTCCTCCAGTTCCTGTGATGGTGAAATAGAGCAAAAGTAATGAACGGTCTCTCTTCACTTGGTGTGATCGGCTGTGCTGCTTAAATCTCAAATCTCTTTCTCAGTAAATAAGTTGGGAGTAGTAGGCAGCATCCTCGATGGCTGTCAAGCTTTTAGCCAGAACATCAAAGAGCCACTGGCGTAGGAGGGGGAGGGGAGCTGAGGAGGTGGTCTACTCTTGGTTTGCACATTTTTATGTATTTATATTAAGGAGTGAAACTTTTTCAATTTATTAAGGGACAGCATTTTTTGGACAACTGCAGAGTTTTGTTGGTGTGCGTTGGGGGGAGGGGGCAAAAATCTTGGCCTGACTCTGTGCGCACTTACCCTATCTATGCCACCACAAAGAGGAATCACTTTACATAAACTCAGCAAAGCTACTCATTTAAGTTTGTTATCTTACACAGACATAGAAATTAACTCAGCAAAGCTACTCATGTAAGTTTGTTATCTTACACAGACATAGAAATTAACTCAGCAAAGCTACTCATGTAAGTTTGTTATCTTACACAGACATAGAAATTAACTCAGCAAAGCTACTCATGTAAGTTTGTTATCTTATACAGACATAGAAATTAACTCAGCAGAGCTACTCATGTAAGTTTGTTATCTTACACAGACATAGAAATTAACTCAGCAAAGCTACTCATGTAAGTTTTTTATCTTATACAGACATAGAAATTAACTCAGCAGATCTACTCATGTAAGTTTGTTATCTTACACAGACATAGAAATTAACTCAGCAGAGCTACTCATGTAAGTTTGTTATCGTATACAGACATAGTAATTAACTCAGCAGAGCTACTCATGTAAGTTTGTTATCTTATACAGATATAGAAATTAACTCAGCAGAGCTACTCATGTAAGTTTGTTATCTTACACAGACATAGAAATTAACTCAGCAGAGCTACTCATGTAAGTTTGTTATCTTATACAGACATAGAAATTAACTCAGCAAAGCTACTCATGTAAGTTTTTTATCTTATATAGACATAGAAATTACACTGCAATATTAAGTTGAGCAGAATAGAATGTGAGAAAGAGACCACCATGGTAGACAACTAAAATATATATACAAGTCTATATATATTTAAATGTATGTTACAGCAAGTCTATATACATTTAAATATATGTTACAAAAAGTCTATATACATTTAAATATATGTTACGGCAAGTCTAAGAATGAGACCCCTGTGGTAGACAGGGATATCATATATTTAGACTTGCATATTTCTCTGTGACAAGCACACGATCCAGCAGCTGATCCTCCAGACCCCTCTGTGTCACAGTGAAGTCAATCACAGATGTGCGGGCGCTGATCTGTAAGAAAAAGAAATAATATTTTAGAGATGAGATTGACTGAATGTTCTAGAGGTAGAGGCACATCGCTAAGCGGCCGTGAGAAAGCCGCTCCTAGGCAATAGTTTTATCCCAGCTTTCCGTCCTGATTGAAAGACTCCCTGGGCGGTGGGGGTGGTAATGCAACACCTTCCCTCCGGAGTGTAAGCAAACCCGCCCAAGCCACGGGAGAGTCGGCTGTGAATGCTTTAAATGTAGCATTCTTGGTTGACTGGACATCCCCCAGGCCAGGGGGTAGGTTCCCGGCATGCCACAGCATGGTCTGGTGGCGAAGAGACCCGGTGCCTGGCCCATGTGGGGGGTACAGGGAGGGTCATTATGAGCTCGACGGCTTGACGGCCCACCGACGCCATTTCCCAAAGAGACGTATTAGTGGCACATATATTAACATCATAAGTGACTTAACAAGTTTAAAACATAAAAAAACATGCAACACGTGTGCTTGGCTGCAGTGATGTGATTCTAGGTCAGAGCAATCGGGAAAAAAGCAGAAGAAATAAAGATGACAGATCGTCCACGTGACAGAAATAAAATTCAGTTTTCTTCATAAACACAAGGGGAGACTTGAGTCTTATTCATATACTTAGGATGAGACTTCAGTATTATTCATAAACACAGGACCAATATATACCAATAAATAAATTTTGCATTTTGAAAATTAAAATAATGTTATATCCGATCACACAAATATTTTTTATCTTTTTAAGATTCAATGCATGCTAAAGTTAATGTCAAAAAGATTAGTCAAGTGCAATTAAAAAAAATTAATAAAAATGTCACTCTCACCTCAGGCGTGTAGATTGGATTGGCCAGTTTTGTGGTGATGTACAGGTAAAATGTTGACATGACGTCACATTCCTTGTCACCAACTTTCACCTGATTGGTTACAAAGTCCAATAACTCCAAAAGTACATTAAAATATATTGCTTTAAAACAAGCTGTTTGTTAAATTTGTTACTTTAAAAATAATTTATAAAAGAATTTTAAGCTCGGCAATCAGAATCAATGAGTTAACAAATGCGTTTTATTACATTTTTCTTTTACATTTTTTCTATTTCATTAATCTGTTAATGGCAACATTTTAAATGTATTTCTGTTTTTTTTAAATTTATTTTCCAAGAACACTTGAGATTTTTTAATAAATTGTTAAGAGACATTTGTGAGAACAAACTGAATGTGGAATTAATTTAAATATCAGTAAATTAAATATAGTTTTAAATGGGGTGAGAAAACTTATTTTGACAAGGGTCAGTAAGAAGATTTTGTTGGAATCTGGGAGTCCATTTTTTAGACCAACTCAAGACGGTCAACAGGTATAATTCGAGTAGTAAGTGTTCAAAAATAATAAGAACACATTTTCAAAAATGTAGGACACACGTTTTTCCTTGTCAAAATGCAACAAGAAATTTGTAATTTTCTGACATATCAGATTAAAGTCAATTATTTGAGACTCCAAATAAAAAATTATTAGATGGAAAAACATTTGAATTGCAATGCAAATTGTTCACATCAGTGAGACACATGAAACTTTTCTGACAAAACTATAATAAATGACTCAATGTTATCGGAATAATAAAGGTAGGTCCATTGCGATAATTTCTACCTGCTATTGCAAAAACTCATCACAATTCCTAACTTTAAAAAAAATGATATTTACATTTTTAACATCATCAAGTTTTGAGAAATATTTATCAGCTTTATATTATACGCCTACCCTACTCCCTTTCCAACCCCTAAAATACTTTTTTTCCATCTAAACATGACCTTAAATGTATAAACTATCACTTATTATATCACTTTTGTCACTAAAGAAGTTAATTGAGAGAAATACTTTAGATTTACCTTTTGTCGTGCCCTTGATTTACAATTTTTATTCTCTAAAAAATGTTTAAAAACTTAATAATATAATATAAATATATTTAATATTAAAGGAATTAGAAATATTGATGTCTTCATCAAAAATGTAAACACACTTTTGCCTTGTTTTTAAATTATACATTATCAGAAAATCGTAAAACAAAGAAATCTTTTATCTAAAGAAGAATCTCGCAACCGTTTTTCAACAGACTAGAGTGTCTTTTTAAAAATTTAAATTGTTAATCTAAAAAAATACACACCTCTTTACTTTTTGAAAAAGTAAAAACAAAAATATATTTTCATCTTTTTTAAAAGAAAATATTAACCCATTCTCCATTTTTCAAAATTAATTTTTCAAGTGTGTAAAATTATTGGGTTTTGATATTCATGGGTTTACTTATATTCATGTACTCACGAATTGCTAATGCCATTGATTTTCTTAATTGGTAAACATATGTTTATTTTTAAAAAGAGAATGCTACATCTCTTTTTGCACAAATGTAATACCGTATGATTTAAATAGATTGACATCCACGTAAAAATGTACACATCCTATTTCATACCTTCAAAATGTATGTACCCAAGAAGGTTAACTATTTATCAAATTGATTCCTTTATTTTAAGATGTATCTTGTGCTACCTGCGGCAAAATGACCCCCCCCCCCCCCCCCACTTAAATAAAATTAATAAATTCTTCCACCGGATTTTAGTCCCTTCCATACCCAAACTAACATATTTTGCACTTCATATGGTTTGTTTTTATTAGGATGAGTTATAAGTGGATTAGTGAATGCTATTTGGCTATGGGGTTGTGCTGCACTGATTTACTTAAAAGGCATTTTCTTATTAGAAGTATATTTAAATGTTAAATTTTTATTATGTTATAAATTAATTAAAAGTATATTTTTGGAATTAAAAAGGTAAAACTTATTAAATGTTAAAAATACAAAGCTATAATTTTTGTGTGCGTTTTTAAAAAAAATTTAATGAACAATCAATTATATATTTATTTTACTTTTAAAAATGGGGAAATACTTGATCAGTTTTGTAACACGCGGTTATTACATCAAAGAAACTTAAGAGTTTTGGCTAACATTTGCATGTTTATTAAGAAGAAATTAATTTTAATTTTATTTCCAATATTAACAGCACACTAAAAATAACTAAAATTTGGGTTTTCCCAATAAATGATGTAATTCTTGGTTCATAATTTCATTATGACTTTTTTTTTGTCATAACTTTTAAATTCGGATCAACTGCTTAAAATAGTTCCTTATTTGTTACTTTAAATGTATTTGTAATTTATAATAATAATACGAAAACTTTTATTTAAAATTTATGTTATTTTTTACACATTTAAATTTATTTGATTGCAGTAAAATAATAGAAAATAACTATGATTGTTTTTAAGAATTTAAATCTTTTCGGTTCTTTGGCATTACATCAGCATAGCTCATTCTTATGTATTTACAAGTGTTCATCAGATAAGGTCACTCTGTAGCCAGAAATAAAAGATTTAGTACTTGAAAAGTCCACATAAGAAAGTAGTACAACAAATAAAATGAATTCATGGGCATATGCTTTTAAATAAATAAGTATATTGACTGCCTTGGAGCCATTTATAGAAGTTTTCCTAATCTGTGTCTGTCTTATGACATATATTTGGATTGCAGACAGCTCACTTCAAATTACAGTTCAGCTGGAAGCTCATCAACAGCACAATCAAATGGGTTTTGGAAAACCATTTTTTTTCCACTTCCATAAATTTTGTTAAAATGGTCCTGAAACTCCTGTCTCAAGTCACAATGCATTCCTTGTACAAACTGATGTTTAAAGTCAGAATAAACTCCTTGTACAAACTGATGTTTAAAGTCAGAATGCACTCCTTGTACAAACTGATGTTCAAAGTCAGAATAAACTCCTTGTACAAACTGATGTATGTTTAAAGTCAGAATAAACTCCTTCTACAAACTGCTGTTTAAAGTCAGAATGCACTCCTTGTACAAACTGCTGTCTCAAGTCTGGTAGTTTGATTTACTTGGTACTTTGATTAAATTGGTACTTTGATTTACATTGGTACTTTGATTACATTTGTACTTTGATTTATATTGGTACTGAAATTTTGATGAAAAAAAGAAAATATTAATTTAACTTAATAAGCCCCTGGTGGGCCAGATAAAATGAAGTCACAGTCGGATCCAGGTATCGGGTGATAGTTTGCCAAGACCTGGCTTATAAGATTATCACATGAAGTACTGTTTATAAACATAACAATCTCTTATCATTGAACAGTTGGCCCCACAAAATATTCCTTAACTTCAAAATTTATTTGGGAGAAAAATGTGTACAATTTTTGTCTGCTGACAACATTTAAGTCAGCAGTTGAGCAGGAGTGTAATATGTCAGATGTCAGAGGCAGATGACTGAGGGAGCACCATGCTACACAATTATAACTTTATACATGCCATTGTTTACAATTGTTATAATTTTACTTACTATTCCTACATTTTCAAAACCTGACAGAAGTAAGAACATGTTTATGTCCCCACACCCTTGTAACATCATGGATGCTTAATGCTATGGGCTGTAGGTTGACAAAACCTTTGGAATAAAGAATTACATTTTCTTGCAACTTGATTAAAAGAAATAGCAGATTCTGGTACTACCTTCAACATTGAGCCTGATTTGATAAAGTTTTTCTCCAAAATATTGTCAAGGGCTGGGTCAAGATCCTCTCCAACATCCTCAATGAGTAGGGGTCGGCCCAAGGATAAGGCATCTTCAAGGTGCTGGCGAAAGTACTTAAGGTTCAAGGATGTTACCTAAAATATTGGAAAAATTTTAAGTTAAAGTCTGTTTATATATAGATAAATAAAATTGTGAGTATTGTGAATGCATAACTTTATACATTTTTTACAATTCAACAGTTTATTCCAACATAGTATGTAAATTTATTAGAACATATGAACAATTAATTATTAATTCAATAGATGGTCATTGCTATAGCACCATACATTACTTTATAATAAATCGTAAACACATTTTTTAAAATGTTCACAAAACTCGAACACACAAAAAAATGAGATAAATAAGACATGTAAACTAAAAAAGACAAAAACAAAGACTTTATAAGTGAGTAAATATAAACTGAACAGATATGATAATTTTTTTTTTAAAAATTAACATAAATTAAAGATTGACAAGGAAATTTATAGATTCTAAATTTGTAATTTTGGTTTATTATACACAGTTTATGTTCCTAATCTTTTCCCCAGTTTAGTCTCTAGCTGGTTTGCCACTCAGCTTGCAGATGCCAATTAGTTGAATCAGATGCTAGCAATACACATACCTGAAGCTGCCTTTGTTTTTCCCTGCTTTTGATCCATGTTTTGGCCTGCCCCTGTGGATCTATGATCAATGGGTAGCGAGTTGCCATTGTTGTGATGATGCCATTTTGGACAGAGAGCTCATCATTGGGGAGTCCCTCTATATGCCAGCCAGATATCTGGAGGCGACAAAGAAAAGTTAATATATTTTTTTTGCTGCTAGTAAAAACATCACAAAACTGGTGAACATAACAACCATCAATTGAACGAATCAGTCAAATAGTGAACACATCTATTTATGTGGCCAGATAGGTCTTGAGCTGTATAAAAGTTTATTAGATTTCATATTATCATAAAGCCTTTTTCAAATATTGAACTTCCCAAAGTCAAATATGACAGAACAATCAAGTAGCTTATGTTTGAACATTTCTAATATTATTTATTTGCTGGCCACAATTTGAAATCTTTTGAGTTGTTTCCATGTCCACCTTATGGCAAACTAAAAGCACAGGAATTTCGAGGAAAAGTTTCAAGTGTATACAAAATTTCTTATTACTCATGAAGAAGGTAAATACAGCAAGCCCCAGGCCAGTAAGAAAACTCACTGTTGTAATGTCCACCAGACCATCAACAAGCCCCACCCCCCAGGCTAGTAACACAACTCACTGTTGTAGTGTCCACCAGTCCGTCAACTATGTGTAAGTTTTTGGTAGTAGGGATTCTTCTCCCAAATATGTCCTGATGCCAGTTGTGGATAAGTTTGTTCCTGAATAATTGATTGAAGGGCCCAGAGTATGACAAGAAGCCCGTGTATATGAGAACATCTCCACTCAAGCTGCCCACAGCAAAAATATTTTGTTAACAAATGGGGGGGGGGGGGAAATGACAAGTAAAATGTTTTTTGGCTTTAAAAAGAAAAATAAAGAAAAAAAAAATTTTTTTAAACACTTTTATAATAAATGTACAAAAAAGGAAAAAAAAAAAAGCTGCCCACAGCAAAAATATTTTGTTAACAAATGGGGGGGGGGGAAATGACAAGTTAAATGATATTTGGCTCTAATAAGAAAAATATATGAAAAATAAATTTTTTTAAACACGTTTATAATAAATGTTCAAAAAAGGACAAAAAAAATTTCTGAGACATACCAGAATTTTATTACAATTAACCATGTCTACAAAAATAAAATTGTGGTCGACAATCTTGGCAGGAAACGCTACCAAAAAAAATACTTTTGCTATATTTTTAAATGGGAAAAGTTAAGAAATTGTTGGGACGAGCAGACTATCTCATAATAGAACCCCACCAAGTGATCTGATTCCTGAACTCCCAACTCTGAGCGGTCCACCTGATCTGTTCTCCACCTAATCCAGATATCAGAGTTGAAGCTGTGTCCATTCTCCTCTGACAAGCCTGGGCATCTTCCAGTAAAGCCTAGAAACAAATGTCAAATGGGTAAAAAAATATTATTTAGGTGAATTTTCCTGTGTCCAGCGTAGAGCAGATATTTATTTTTTTTTAAAATTGATATGCATTTGAAAATATTGGGCACAAAAATTTTTTTTACAATCTTACATGCCTCAAATTCTTTTTAAAAAAAACGCAAACACTGTAATTAACTATTATGTAAAAGAATTATAATTTTAATCAAATTAATGTTACACATCAGAATAAAAAAACTTTAAGTCACAGCCTGTTTCTAATACAAAATTTTAAAGTCTTAGCCATATAATTTTGAAGTACCTAATATATTTCATTGAGTGCATTATGTATTTTACACACAACAAAATGAAAAAATTAACATCGCTGGTGACAATAAAATTGTATTAAATTGATTACTCTTTTCTTTGCCATTGCTCCATCATATTTAGCCTGCACAATGTTGAGCTCAGCTTGCTTCTCGTCCAGTGTTTTCTGAGCAGCTGAAAGCTCAGCACTAGCAGATCCCAGTCGTCTTTCTTGTAAAATCAAATTAGCCTACAGAGACAAAATAGTTGGGAAACAATTATACATGAAATATCAAAAGCATACGTGTTAATTCAGAAAAATATAAATTATTGTAAAATATTTTGTGGTAGCAAAGATCTGTTTGGTATACATTACTCATATGGGTAACAAAGATCTGTTTGGTATACATTACTCAGGTGGGTAACAAAGATCTGTTTGGTATACATTACTCAGGGGGGTAACAAAGATCTGTTTGGTATACATTACTCAGGGGGGTAACACAGCTTCCATAAATCAGTTTTGGAAGAATAACATTCAGCATTTCAGCCAATTAACAAAGAGACAGACAATTAGAAATCCCCAGGTCGTCATTAACTCACAGTCCATGTAAATGTTGAAAATTAGTTTATTACCTTTAAATGTAAATGTTGTAAATTTAGTTTATAACCTTTAAATGTAAATGTTGTAAATGAGTTTATTACCTTTAAATGTAAATTTTGTAAATTAGTTTATTACCTTTAAATGTAAATGTTGTAAATTAGTTTATTTCATTTAAATGTAAACATAAAAATAGTTTATTACCTTTAAATGTAAAATGTTATAAATGAGCTTATTACCTTTAAATGTAAATGTTGTAAATTAGTTTATTACTTTTAAATGTAAATGTCAAATTAGTTTATTGAATTTAAATGTAAATGTTGTAAATTAGTTTATTACCTTTAAATGTAAAATGTTATAAATGAGTTTATTACCCTTAAATGTAAATGTTGTAAATTAGTTTATTACCTTTAAAAGTAAATGTTGTAAATTAGTTTATTTCATTTAAATGTAAACATAAAAATAGTTTATTACCTTTAAATGTAAAATGTTATAAATGAGTTTATTACCTTTAAATGTAAATGTTGTAAATTAGTTTATTACCTTTAAATGTAAAATGTTATAAATGAGTTTATTACCTTTAAATGTAAATGTTGTAAATTAGTTTATTACCTTTAAATGTAAATGTCAATTTAGTTTATTGAATTTAAATGTAAATGTTTTAAATTAGTTTATTACCTTTAAATGTAAATGTTGTAAATTAGTTTATTACCTTTAAATGTAAATGTTGTAAATTAGTTTATTTTGTTTAAATGTAAACATAAAAATAGTTTATTACCTTTAAATGTAAAATGTTATAAATGAGTTTATTACCCTTAAATGTAAATGTTGTAAATTAGCTTATTACCTTTAAATGTAAATGTTGTAAATTAGTTTATTTCGTTTAAATGTGAACATAAAATTAGTTTATTACGTTTAAATCTAAATGTAAAAATGGTTTATTACCTTTAAATGTAACGTAAAATTAGTTTATTACCTTTAAAGGCAGGACTTCCTTATTGATTCCAAAAAATGTTGTCATTGCTATGGTCCATGACAGGAGGCCTGCCACATTACCACAAGCCTGGGGAATGAGATCCAACAGGTAAAGATTAAATACTGCTAGTGAGGAGCATGCTCAGCCCAATTTAGGACCTCCCATGTACAATTTTTAGATCATGGTTATAAAAAGACACACTTCACCAATTAGCATGGCCTCCAATGTTAACCTTATATCATGATGTTAAAGTAGACATGTCATCTAATGTTAACCTCTACATAATGATGTAAATGGAGGCATGGGCGCCCCCAGAAAACTTTCTAGAGGGGGGCAAAAAAAATCAATTAACTTTCTAGGGGGGGGGCAAAAACTTTTTTAGAAATGTTTTAATGTAGTTTTAATTTACTGTAGCGTATTTGTATGGTGAACGAACAGACAGGACATCAGCTTAGTTACTTTCTCTTTATTCTCTCTTTACTTTAATACATTTTTGTCTATTTTTGTCTAAAAAATTTGTATCCAAATAATCCGGGGGCAGGGGGGGGGCAAGTGCCCCCCTCCCCCCTCGGCCCATGAATGGAGGCATGGTCTATAATGTTTGATGTTTACCTCTACATCATGATGTCAATGGTAGCACTGCCATTAATGTTTGATGTTTACCTCTACATCATGATGTCAATGGTAGCACTGCCATTAATGTTTGATGTTTACCTCTACATCATGATGTCAATGGTAGCACTGTCATTAATGTTTGATGTTTACCTCTACATCATGATGTCAATGGTAGCACTGTCATTAATGTTTGATGTCTACCTCTACATCATGATGTCAATGGTAGCACTGTCATTAATGTTTGATGTTTACCTCTACATCATGATGTCAATGGTAGCACTGTCATTAAGGTTTGATGTTTACCTCTACATCATGATGTCAATGGTAGCACTGCCATTAATGTTTGATGTCTACCTCTACATCATGATGTCAATGGTATCACTGCCATTAATGTTTGATGTTTACCTCTACATCATGATGTCAATGGTAGCACTGCCATTAATGTTTGATGTTTACCTCTACATCATGATGTCAATGGTAGCACTGCCATTAATGTTTGATGTTTACCTCTACATCATGATGTCAATGGTAGCATTGTCATTAATGTTTGATGTTTACCTCTACATCATGATGACAATGGTAGCACTGCCATTAATGTTTGATGTTTACCTCTACATCATGATGTCAATGGTAGCACTGTCTTTAAGGTTTCAATGTTTACCTTCAGGGCAGAGTCATATGAGTAGTCCTCCATCCGTGTGCAGGGTTCCATCAGCTCAATCATCTCCTCTGTAATGGTGTCCTTGTTAAAGTCAACCAGCTGCTGTAAGAAGCTTATGTGGCCCATTATCTGATGGAGGTTTAAACAAAAATCACTTAGACTTTACGAGACGTCATTACGTACCTCTCATATGGAAAATGTTTAAAATTGAAATGTTATTTATAGAACAGTTTTCATTCATGCAATTAAAATATTTAAAAATCCACATCAAAAACAAAAACAACAAAAAAAAAATGATCAATAAACATTTCCCCCCCCCCCAAAA